GGCCAGCCTCGCAGGACAGCGTTCAACCCACGCAGGCACACGAGGTCACGCCTTGCCCCCAAAGAAGCCCAGGCCAGCCCTGGAAGAAGCCCACCACACATCCAGGGGGGGGAAAAACCAGGCCCCCCCATCCATAACCAGAGCCCTGCGGCACTGCCTGCACCAGAACTGAGGCATCGGGCCATCGCCTGGGGGCCCGGCAGCCTCCAGGCTGCTTTCAGACCTTTTGATCCTACTAAAAAAAAAAAAATTTTAAAAAAATTTAAAAAATTAAGTAACCCAACCCACCAACCAAAAACCCCACGGGGTTGCGCTCGCAGCCAAATTAGCCTCAATGGAAAAGATCTGCCGAGGACTCGGCCCAGGCTGCTCCGAGCAACGCAAAGGCAGAACCGGCTGCAGGGGCGGCACGTGCCGGAGCTCCCCGTTCCCTGCAGAGACCCCCCTCCCCAAAACACCGCTGCCCCCAGGGTCTGCCCTCGCCCTCACTACCAGCCATAGCGGCAACAGGACCACGTTCGATGGCAATAGCGGGCACGCAGGCGAGCCCAGGTCGCTGCCCCATCCCCACCGACCAGGACTCGGCTCTCGTCTCCCCAGGCTCCTTCTCACGCTGCTGCCATAACGTGCCAGCGCAGCCAACGCGGCTCCTCTTCTTCCCTTCCCATTACTGCGTGGCAGCTCACCGCGGCTCCGGTTGGCACCGCGCTCCAGCGTTCCTAGGGCGCTACGTTTCCAGTCGGCATCATGCCTTAGGCTCCAACTCCCCCATGACACCACGGGAACCGGAGGACACGGGACTCACAAGGGACAATTCCAGCCACGCAGGCTTCAGATGCTCAAAGCCACCGCGGCAGGGACAGGACAGAGCCCACGCAATCGACTTCACCCACATACTGTATACACCGGGCTGTATTCACGCACATACGCATATATCTATACACACACACGCATACACTGGGCTGTAGCTACGCAACCTCTTCTATTACCATACACCTCACCATGCGGTACAGGACACGCGCTGCAGAAAAATAAGGTCCTATGCATCGCGCAGTCAGGCCGGCGTGCCTGGGAGCTGTGGGGTACCAACAGGGGCTCCTCAGAACGCACCCGGTGCCTGTACCACGTCCGACGTTACGGAGTCCGCGGGGCGACGACCCGTTCCTACCGTGGACCTTTGCCTACCAAAGGCCCACGCGGTGCCTCTCCTACACGCTTCTCGTCGTGACAGCTTCTGCCGTGCTCTCTTTGGCCTTCAGCTTTCCCGAGCAGTGAGGCTTCTCGGCTCCAGGCTGCAGAACAGAGAGACATCGAACACCACGTTCATCCCTGCGAGCTCGGCAGGGCCTTCGCACCCCCTGCGGGACGTGCGTGACCTTCCCTTCTCCCTCGCCCCGGGATGTGGCCCGAGTCCATCGATACAGCTGCCTAGGCATGTATCACCCTCCAACTTGGGCGGTGGGGATGCTGCCCAGCCGAGCAGCCAGGCCCTGGGACGCCCAGACAGACGGCGACCTCCCACGTCCCTGACAGACGGAGCTGGCTGCTGCATAAAGCACAGGAGCCGGGTATCGCACGGAGCTCCCAGCTCTTTGCCCGGCGTCTGCCCCGCTACTGCTGCAGAAGGGCACAGCCACCCACGGTACCCGATGGCCAGAAAACCGCGCCAGGCCCGCCACACGTTCCCAACCGATTGCAAAAGCTAGGTAAGCGCATCAGACGGGGCTCGCGGCTTCTGCCGAGGCTCCGCGCTGGGCTGCTTCGCCTTTCTGGCTGCAGCAAGCACGCCGCAGAGGCACCCCATGCGAGAGAAGCGTCCCCAGAGCCGACGACGCTCTTGCAACTTTCAGCCCACCGATGCGCCAGGGGTCTCGCCCCACAACCCTCGCTCTTCGTTTACCAAACGCCTCCTGAGTGGTCATCTCAGAGAGAGCAAAATCAGGTGTGTCTGCCCAGGCAAAGGGAGACGTTTCCTGCGGCGGCCGACAGCTCGCTCGCTCCTCCTCGCCTCCACCGCGTGCGACCAAGCGGCCGGAGGGCATCATGCCTTCCCAACCCTGCCGTCTGGAGAACGGCACAGCCTGGAGGCTCCTTCGCCTTGTCCTCTGCAAGCCTCTGGATAACACCAGGAGTCACCATCCTTCTGCTTGCAGGACTTGCCTCAGGCATCTTACTGACAGCTGAGCGTCCAGGCTGTGCCGTGCATCCCCGCTGCCTTCCGACATCGTCGGGGCAGACGCAGCTCGAAGCGCCTTGCTGACCTCCAAGGTGCCTGCTGACCACCACAACCTGCCTTCGAATGCTCGGGGCATGAGGACCTTTGGCTCCTGGGGCTCCAGCTGTCCTCGTGGACTTTGCTCGCCCGCTCCCATGTGCTCACCTTGCGCAGTTTGGCCGCTCGCAGCCGCCTCTTCTCCTGGTTCAGCTGGAGCTGCGTCCTCTCCAGAGCCTCTTTCAGCAGAGCATTCTCTTCTGCCTCCCTGGCGGCTTCGTCTTCTAGTTTGGACATCTCCTCCTGGCACCTTCGCAGGGATGCTTGGCTCAGCCTGTGCAAAATGGGGGGGAGGGCGGGCTGGGGGAGTGGTGTGTGATGGTGGTGGTGGGGTGTCTGTCACCCATGTTGACCCCCCAGCCCCCAGCTGGGCTCTGCCTGGGAGAGACGCCTTTCGAGCAAGACCATAACGCACTTGCATCCCTCCTAGGACCCCCCACACCACGGGGTGACACTGAAGGGCATCAGAGCAGCTAACACCTCGTGAAGACCTGCACGTGTTTTAGCAAGTGTTTTCCCTGCTCCGATTCCTTACAACCTGGAAAAACCCCTCTCCTTCCACCTTTGCCAAGACCAAGGTGCCACCTCTTCAAGGCTTCCCCCCCCTCCCTCCCCACCTGATGGCTGCGATCCCTTCTGTTTGGCGTACGAGCTCACCAAGGAAGTCTGGGTGGCTGTGTCGGCACTGCTGCCTCGCAGATGGCTATCAGACCTCTTGCCTATTTTGAAAACATTGGTGCGTTTGCACCAGCCCAGAAATATCTTTCTACACTGCTTTTTCCGGCGCTGCGGGCCAAGCGACTTCTGCATTTGTGTGGCGAGCAGCAGCGGGGCTCGCACAAGCGTGCCCACGGGTGCCTCCCGGCTCCCTAACACGTAAGTTTGTGCGGCAGCTCGTGGAGCGGGAGGTGGCACCTTCCATCTGGATGGCCTTTCCCATTGGCTCCCACAGTCCCTCCAACCCAGCCGATGCCACTGTCATCCCAGGGCCCGGCCACCCCGGACGAGGGAGGCTGCCAAGGTTTTCCCGACTCTGACACTGCTCAACCGCGGAAGACCCTGCAACGAACCGTTGCAGAGACCCAAGAGGCCGTTTCTGGGTTGCTCCTAACACTTCCTTTTTATACGGTGGCCACACCGTGATTGCGCACAGGCAGGCGTATGGCCTGGGACGGGGCTGCACCCCGCCTTTCCCCAAGTTCCCCGTCACTTTGCATCCCAGGAGTTGGTCTCGCTCGGACCCATGGCTGGTAATGGCCACCTTGCCCTTCGGTACCTGAGCTGCTCCATGCTGGCCTCGTAATCTTTCAGCATCTCTTCTTTTCTCTCCAGGCGACTCTTGAGGTTCCTGATCTGATTGTACAGCAGCTCCAGGTCCTTCCGCCTCTGCAGTCCCGCTTTTTCCCTCTCCTCCTGAGGCAGGTGCTTCAGAGACTGCATTCCTGACAGCTCCTTCACCTTCATCAGGCTTCCCAGAGCACCAATTACGTCAAGGTACTGTGGCAAGAACAGGGAATGCATTATTTACTAGGCCTGCCAACTCCTCCGCCACATAACATCCCACCGCTCAGCCATCTGCTTCCATTCTGCTCTGCTAAGGAGAGGAAAACATCACAAGAAAACTGCTGCCTTCCCCTTTGTTTAATTTCCATGCGTGCTTTCCCTGGGCGAGCTTTTCTGAGCGCTCCTGACAATACGGCCAGCTGTGGCTCATCCGTGCCTTTGGTCTGTGTGCTCGGAGGCACTCGGAGAGGTGCCACACCGCACCGGCGCACACCCGAGCTCCAGACCGGACCCTGTCACACCTGGCATTCCGTTGCCAGCCGCACGACTCTTTGGGGTCGGATTTTTGACTTTTTCAAGATGACCCGTTTTCCCTGCCGGACAGTTTTCTGCCCTTGTCAGGGAGGAGACCCACTTTCTCAACCTACCCGCTGCGCTACCAAGACACCTCCTCTGGCAGCCACCTCCATCGCTCCCCGCAGCCTCTCTCACATCATTTAGCAGGCGTGGGAGCGGGCGAAGGTCTCTGTCCTCACCAACCCGACCTCTCCACGAGGATCAGCCCCTGACTGCCCGAGGGAATGCCCCCAAAGACCTTAGGTGGGAAGAGGAGGAGGCACCCTGTCGCACATTCTGGGGTCCCGAGACCTCCCGGCAGATGCCCAGCACGCCCCGCATCCTGCTATACCCATGTTCCTGCAGAGCCTGGACACCAATTGCTTCCTTCTGAAATGCGCTTGAAAACAATCTACCCTCTATGAGGGCCAGGTACCGTTGTAACATGTCTACCGCTGACGTACCATCTTCTCGCCGAGGTCCGTCGTGTCGGCCATCTCTGAGCTCGCCACCCCATCAGTGGTCCCATGCGAGCCCCCGTTAGGAACCCAGCCGGGAATCTGCACAGACAGGGAAAGACCAACGGAGCCCACACACTGCCTGGCTTTGGGTCGAGCTGCCTCGAGCCTCCCTTCTGCCACATGGGAAAACCGCTCTGGCAATGCCGCGCTCCAAAACCTGCCACCCCGCTCAGCCTGCGGCGGCCCTGAGCAGCGCTACGCCAATGGTGCCGGATAATATGCTGCTCCTGACAGGAGCTGCCGCCATCTCCATGAGCACTGCCTTCCATTAGGCTGCATCTTACAGACCGTCAGATTTTACATCTCCCCCTCTGCCCCCCTGCCTTCTTATTCGGCACGCCCACGAGCCTAATTCTCCCTGCTGCAGGGAATTCTTTTGCAACAGAGCCACAATCACCACCAACCACAAGCTGCCTTCTTACCTTGCTGGCCTTCCATTTCGTTCCCGTCGCGGGTGCAGGTTCCTTCTCAAGAACTGTTTTCTGGACTATTTTCTCAGGTAAGTCTTTCAGCAGGACCGCCAGCGTCTCCGAACCCTTCTTCGTGGCAGCTGGAGGCACACACATCCCCACCGAGTTGCGCCGCCCTCCATGCGACGTGCTGTGCCTTCGTACCTCCGCCACTTGGAGGTTTGCCAAGTTTCCCCTTAGGGAGACCACGCACGGAGAGAAGCACAGGCTATGGAGCAAAGCCTGCACCAGCCTTCCCTGCAGACATCGTTATCCCAGCGTTTGGGCATCGCTTCCCCTACCTAAGTAGGATGCAAACCTGTCGTTCAGGTGGCCGTTCAGACATCGCGCCACAAACTGCTACCCTACTTGTAGCTTCTCACGGAGATGGCGCTGCTTTTCCCTACTGCTCTCGCTACAGGGCTATACCCGATGGACAGGGACCAAAAGAATGAGTTAGGGCAAGTGGAAGACTCTCACAACCTACAGTACTTGCAAGGCTCGGCAAGACCGCAACAGCCAAGGCTCGGTTCCTGGAGGCAACCGCTGCTCTCTCTCGCCTTGAGGAGAGCGGCACCCGAGCATGGGGAGCGATCGTGCGCGGAGCCGGGTGCCTGCTCGCTCCTGGCTCCGACTGCATGGCAGCTACCGCTGCAAAACCCTTCGCCAGCCGCCTCTCCTTGCTGACTCCTGCAAGTGCTACCTCTTCACATGTATACGCTTGATGCCTGCCAAGCACCTTTCTAAAGCCTATAGCCGCACCGCACGTTCTTCAGAGAGGTTTGCCTGTCACCTGCGCGCATTAATGAGCACACACGGGAGAGCCGACTTGGTGAGGGAAAAGCCCGAGCCCCATGGCGAGCAAAGAGCCTGAGCCCGTGGCACAGCCCATCACGCCTTCCCTGGTGTTACATGCTCCACCGGCGCAGACCCCGGGGTCTGCCAGAGCCAAATGGACGCAGCTTCCCTTTACAAGGACGGCCACGCTTACCTGAGGACTGCCCCTTCTCCAGCATCTTTATTCTCTCCCGGAGCTCGGCCAAGCCTTCTTTTTGGCGCCGGATCGTTTCCTCGTGCCTGAGGCCTCGGCATTTCGCGCCGAGGTCGGCCAAGTCCCACGCCGGTTCCTGGAAGAAGCAGCCGGTCTGGTTCTCGCCCAGACTGCACCTGGCTCAACACGAGCTCAGCTTAAACCTGCCTTAAACACAGCCTCGCTGCCAGACCCCGGTCACTTGGTGTGCGCCGAGAGCAAAGCCCATGGAGCATCTCACCCTACACCCTCCCCGTGGATTTGTGGGGTAGAAGAGCAGCATCAGAGACCCGTTTCATGCTCCACCGCGCCAGCAACAGCCCCGTGAGGCCGTAAGCCCCGCAAACGCTCCAGAGAGCCGGGAGAGGGACGGTGCGCGGCTCTGAACGGCCACGTCCCCCTCTCGTGCTCGGTGCTGCCGCGGAGCACTTACCATCTTCTGCGCACAAATACCGCTATGCTTTATGGCCTGCGTTTGTACATGACCTCACGTTTATACATGCACCTCCAGCGCCCTGCGCTCCCCCTCCGTCGCTACAGGACGGGCGATACCTCCCGCTCGTCAGCTGGCTGTGAGTCACCGCTCGCCCCCCACACATCCAGCCTCGCGCGCCGGCACGCTGTCTGCCACCGCTGCGGTACAGGACGTACGATTTCTACAGTCCCTCCATCTGCTGCTGCAACCAGCTTTGAGTTCTTCCCATTTCTAGCGCCAGGGAAGTCAGGCGGGGGATTTGGCAAGGGAGGAAAAAAAAGCACTTTTCTTCCTGTCCTGTGCAACAAGCTCCCCCTGCTTCTGCACGTTCGACCCTGTAACTGCTTTTGTGTCACCAGTACAGCCAGCAAGGTTGGGAAGAGGAAGGAACACTTGCAGATCTTTCCGCTGCTCTACCCTCTAATTGGCAATTACCGCAGCCATTAGCACACGCAACACTTTACGATTCCAAAGTGTGGTACAAACATCAGCTCGTTAGCCAGCAGCGATGCCTGCGCAGGAGCTCTGCCAGCACGGCTACCCCAGCTCGCTGGCAGCGCAGGCAGCAGCCCTCAGCTAGGAAAAAGGCAGCCGGTGATCCGGTGCTCCTGCCTTCAGCCAGCTCCAAAGCAGGCTCGAGGCTTGGCTGGCCACGGCCAGGTCACGCCACGAAGCCGAGAAGCACCGTGTGCGTGATTGATAATCTTGGCAGACCTGGAGCTCAGCGGCCTCTGTGCGGACTTACCCTCTGGAAGGCTTCGCCCGCTTGCACTGGCGTCCCAGGAGCATCCTCCGACTTTTCCGCCGTTTCTCTGCAGGCATCCTTCAGCTCCTGGCACTGGGCTCGGGCTTGCCTGCGCCAAGAGGCCAGACTGTTGTGAGACACCGTGACAGGTGAAGGCTGCCCAAACAGCTTGCAGACAGCAGCACCCTGGGCATCCACCGGTGACTACTGCAGCGTGGGTGGGAACATTCCCTTCATGACAAGTGACTTAGCTACACATCCACTGGCATGAGCTCCTCTAAACCCCCGTTTCAGTTTACACGGCGTTTCCACAGAGACAACGTGGCCGAGCTCAATTCTGATGCTCTCACATACGCCTTTTGCTGCCGGGGAGATACCTACCTGCCACCAGCTGCTGGGAATCTACAGAGCAGCTTTTGCAAAGCACCGGGTCAGGGCGGCACATACCTTAACTCTTCAGCTGCTGCTTTCAGGGCTCGATCCTTCTTCTCCACCAGGCTTGACATCCGGGAGAGCTTCTCTCTCAGCAGGTTCGCTTCCCGCTCTTGGCATTCCAGCCGGCTCACGTTCCGCTCCAGTTCCACCTTCTGCTCCTCGCTCAGCTCTCCTAGGCACACAACAGCTTCGTGGGTTTCTGGCCGTCTCAGCACCCAGACCCGGGGGAACGCACAGTTCTCGGTGAAACGATGCTCATGGATGCGTCCCCACTTCTCCCAGCGCGCCCTCGCGGGGGCTCTCAGCAACAACGGACCTTGTCCCCGCAGACCCTTGCCCTGCCCTTGACAGCAGCCCTCGGATCCTGGGCCGGGCCAGCAGACCTTGCTCTACTAAATCACAGTGCGAGGTCTGGCTCGCCTTCTGCCCACTCCGCTGGGTATTCCCATAAAGCCTCCCCCAAAGCACAACCATGCCCACTGAGGAGTCCCAGGCAATGCTCTCCCTGCCTACTGGCTTATGATCCCTTAAGCTCAAAGGAGCTCACCAGCGGGATTTGGAGAAAGATGGCCTCGGCTTTGTCCACCCGTTCTCCACCTGGTTACCCTTGCTCACCATCACCGCTATTGCTTAGCCAAGGACAGGGAAGAATTCACCCACCCAAAGGGAACGGACCGCCTGCTTTGCCCCGAGCAGGGCAACAGCATCGCTTTAGGATGGTGACATCTATTTCCCATTACCTGCGTGGGCCCACTAGTACCTACCCTTGCCAATGCTTGGAAGAGGGATGGTAAGATGGAAACCACGCAGCACGCGTCACCCACCTCTCATGTCCGACATCCTGGCTCTGGTTTCCGCTAGCTCTTTGGTTAGTCTGGCAATGACGGCCTCCTTGGACAGAAGCGTGCTCTGCGCCGCTGCCAGCTCCTCCCTCAGTTCCCTGAGAAAGATAATTGCCGATCTCACTGTTCATTTGAAAGGCTCATTTCACGGAGCCTGCGCACAACTTCCTGACCTGCATCTCACGATTAATACACGCACGTTACTTTTTTTAACCACCTTTCAGTCCCCTAGGTTCATGCCTGCGGCACTGGGACTTGCCAGCCCGGTCGCTCTTACCTGGAGCCGTCTGGACGGGACAGCACATCGCTCACATGCCGTTTGGCATTGCTTTGACACTATAAGCCCTTACGGGCATCTCAGCCTAGCAAAAAGACCCTCTTCACTGTCACAAATAAAAAAGGTCTGGGGACCAGTTGCAGTCAGCCCCTTGGTCTTCCTTAAGCTCTCCCAGTGATAAGTGCTCTTCTCCAAGCCCCTCTGAACAAGACCACCCTCAGCAAGCGCTGCTTACCTCAGACAACTGTGCGACCCTGCGGCAGGACAAACCTCCAGCCAAGCTCCTGCTGCTGGCTTGCGGCCATCACCCCGAAATCCTACAGGACACAACGACAAAGGCCAATTATTTCTTTGTAGTGCGTACCTGTTCAGCCTGCTTGCTTCCACTACATATATCCTTTCCTTCAAGACAGCTTTGCAGACCGAGGACCGTTTCTTGGGAAACCCGTGTCTCTTAGGGCCCATTTCCAACAGCGCATAGACAGTTCCTTACATCCTTCCTCCCTCAGGATCACTTATGTGCCTGGGCACAGCCCAAAGTGCTCCAGTCCCGTCACTTTAGAGGGCACAGAGCCCTTCTCCAGTGGGAAAGGCCTGTCTACGACCATGGCGCATGACCAACAGTCCCCAAAGTCACACGGCAACATACTGCAATTCCCTGGGAAATGGCTTCTTTGGGCACTCACGGACCTCGTCCTGCATGCAGGCAGACCTTAGACCAACATCTCACACAACACTTTCCATCGTGGCCAATGCACCATTCCATCTCTAGATCCATTTCACATTAACCACGAAGGTTCCTGGTACAGACTTGACCCACGCAACCCTCAGCTACCTTCCACTTTTTCCGCGAGCGCTGCATTTTCCTCCTCCAGCGTCTTCTGCTGCTGCTTGGCCTCCAGCAACCTGTCCTCTAAAGCCACAATTGTCAGAGAATGCTGCTTGCTTTGCTCTTTATATTCCACTATCGCTTCCTGCAGTTTCTGCCTCTCAAGCTCATTCTCCTCCTGAATGGCCTTGAGCCGTTCCTCTCCCGTGAGCACCCGCTGCTGTAATGCCACCTAGGAAACAAGACGTACGGTCTCTGTCGGAAGCGTTGCGCGTGTTTTCCTTCGGGCTCACGATCGGCATCATCTCTCCCGGCTAGCACTCAGAAGGACAGAGGGAAGGGATAGGTTTCAGGGAGTGGGGAGGCTGCAGTGCCCCGTCCCCTCATCAGCAGGGACCGGGAAAGCCACCTTCACCGAAACCGCATATACGCCGCGTCCTCTGCCTGCACACGAGGGTCGTTGGAACTACCTCTCGCGTCGCCGCTTCCTCCAGCTTGTGCACAGCTTCTCTCAGCTTGCAGTCTGCAACCTCCTGCTCCTTTGACTTCCTTGCTATTGCCTACATGAGGAAATTTGCATTATTTGAGAAGCCAATAAGCTTGCGGGAATCCACCTTTCTCTCTGCAGATACGCATCTATGTGTATTTGAGGGGAAACACACACCATACCCCCCTTGCCCCAGTCCACTGATGACCCCTGACCAAACAGAGCACCATGCTACAGAGCGCTTTCAGGGTGATTTATTCCAAGCATGAGCGGTTCCGCTGTACCTCCCGTGCGTGCCACTGACCTCGGTCATGCTTCTCAGCTGGCTCTCCAGGTCTCGGACCTTCTTCTGCTCTTCCGCCACAGCTTGCTTGCACTTCTCCTCCTCCTTGGCGACAGCGCTCTCCAGAGCCTGAGAATTGACAGCCCACGGTTTTGGTACAGAAAAAATCATCCTGTTTAGCAAAAGACCTCGGCTCCAACAAGGAAAGCAACCAGGAGGGTCACCGCTCTGGAGCAGGGGCGCATTACGGGAGAAAAGCTTGGAAGAACACGAGGTGACTCCATGCGGGGGGGATATGAGCACCTCGGTACAGCCGAGAGACTGAGGAGGAGCCGCTTAGCTGCTCCTTACCTGCCTCCTTCAAAAACGCAATGCCGGGCAACAACCGTTCCCGAAGCAACAGGCAGAGAAGTGCACTACAAACTGTCTTACAAGACCACCGCGCTATGCTGTCCCTGTCACAACATACAGACACGGCAAAACACCCATTCGCGCCTTGACTAACGCTACGCCCTGCACCAGCGCTGTCGACTCGATGACTCGGGCTTCCCTGGGACTGAGGGCGACCCGGTGAGAACCCGCTAGGCAGCCCCCCCTGCTCCACAGGGGATACACTTTTCCACCCAAAAGAGACCTCCAAGGAGTTCAGCATGGGGAAGGGTGAGAGCAAAAGGCTTGCAAGGAAGCCCACCTGCCCTTGCATTCCATTTACTACAGCCCATGCAATGTCTTACGAAGCTGGCATATCTGGATAACGCTCCTTGCTTTCTGCTTTCTCCCAGGGACTGACCGGCAGCAGCGTGTGCTGCCATTGCCCAGAGACATTTTCCAGTTCCACCGTGGATACTTTGGGGACGTAAAAATCACCCGCATCTATATAGGAGCATAGCCGATATCCAGGCTCTGAGGACTGCACCTAGGCAGTTCAGGGCTAGAGACTTCTTTCTCTTGCTAGGCAACACTATTATAGACACCTATTTTTCCTGCATAGCAGTTATTTTCCTAACAACCAACCATGCCACCATACCTCTTTGTTCTCCTCGTCCTTTTCCAATATCATTTGCTCGATTTTTATCTGTAGGTCTTGCTCGTGTTTCGCTTCCAGCTCCTTCACGTGCTCCCGCAGCAACGCTGCCTGCGACTCCTGGACCCTCTCTAATTGGGCCTATGGGGAAATGGCAGATACCAAGGTGTTAAAGGAAGCGTGTTGGCAGCAGGGCAAGAAACAAACATCCTGCGTACATTCACTCACAGACAATTCAAAAAGAGATATACCCTCCACCCTTGCCACATTAGGGGTACGGCAACTGACACACACCGACAGCGGGCTCCGACTTCTCCGTTCCCCTGCATTTACCGCAGACCCAGGGACCTCTGCAGCTGTACATTCCAAATTAGGGTCCCACACTGGCTCGCTTGGGACTACCGTCATGTTTACCGATAGAAAGATCCCCAAGCAACTCGCTTTCTGCACGTAGGCATTTCTGTACCTGTAGCAACTGATTCCTCTGTGCAGTTTCCTGACGGTTTTCCAACAAGCTCTCGAGAGCAGCCAACAGCCCTGCAAAAGCCAACCGAGTCTCGCTGTACGGGGGTGCTCGCACAGCCCACATATACCACCTGGAGCGTCCACGGGGCCCTGCGGATGCTGCTTGCCTCCTTGCAAAAACTCGCTTTGGCCACTGCTGACCCGCAGCCCTGGCCCTCACCCCCCTTGGGACTGGGGGTGGAGGGGAGGTGTCCCCCCCTTCATCCATAGGCAGCAGGGAGGAGAAGGGACCGCTGCTAACTTCCCACACGGTTGCCCCCCCGCGCTCATTGGGGTACCCAGAAAACCCACTTACCGTGGGTTTCCCTCCCTGGCTGGGGCAGTGGATGCACTGGTGTCAGCTGTTGGGGAAGGAGAGGCCAGTAGGCAACAGTTGTGCCTGGTGCCCAGAGACCCTCATGAGCCTGGAGACCCTCACTAGCCTCTTGCTACGGGATTCAGGATCAGCGATCCCCTCGGGAAAGGCTCCTAGGGCCAGCCGAGGGCTTCCCCTCCGCACTTAGCAGAAGCGAGGCACATTCCTGCCCCTGGGAGACTGCGGCTGTTTCCGAGACATCGCTGGAAGGGAGCTTGACTGCACACACAGCCCAGGTCCCCATTCCCGCCGGGAGACTGGTTTTCCTTGTCACGCATGGTCCCCCGATTTTGCTGCATCACCCCATCTTCTCTAAGCCCAACGTTTCTGCAAGAACCGAGGATGGCTTGTTGCTGCCCGACGCTCCTGGTGCCATAAGGACCACTCTGCTAACCATGACGGCCTCGCAGCTCCTCCTGTGCCCTCACCGACACCGCTCCACCCCGCGGCACGTCCTGCACCCCCACACAGCGCTGCTGTGACAGCGATGCTCTCCTTCCCACGCCGCCACCAGAGCCGTTACTCCTTGGCAGTGATGCTCCGCAACACGCGATGCTTTGACACAGACCCGTGCTTCTATAGCTGCTGCCTTTCCCACGCACTGTTCACCTAAGCTTATTTTCGGCAATTGCCCCTCCACTCCACATCAGAGGTGGCACCAGAAAGGGAAGGCAAAGTAACTCGTCACCTCGAGACAAGGGGTTCGGATCTCAGCCAGCACCGCTGCCGAGAAGCGTTTCCCATAGGCCACCAAGGCAAAACCCACTTTGACTGAATAACCATGACATCAGCACATCAGGTCCACCACGTGGAGACATCGCATCCCACAGATAACCCCCCGCTCCCTGCCCCCCCGAGTCCTACGGGTGGCACTGGCTACATGGCGTGACTGTGGCCGCAGAGGTAGGGAATAAGAGCACACACGCTGCCTGAGCCAGTTTCTCAGTTGCCCAAACTGCCCAAAATTTGCACCAGCATGGGCGCCTGGCATCCCCAAGCGGTGGCTCACGCTGGACTTTCTCCTCGACGGCTGGCTAGCTAGGACATCCCACCTGGAGCAGGTTTGTTCCCAGGGACACCCAGCGGCACACAGACCTTTGCCGGAGGCGCGCGGGTCCATCCCCACGCTGGCCAGGAGCCGCTCCGCGCCCTCCAGCCAGGACAAGGGGACGTGCACTATTTCCACCACTGCTGCCGCTATGGCTGAGATGGAGGGGTCCAGGCACGCTGCCTCCAGCCTCCCCAGCTCCCCTCGCAGGCTGTCGCTGCTGCAGGAGCTCCGCAGGCAAGCCTGGAAAAAATACAACCGGTGAACAAGCTAGCCTCCCCAGTCAACGGGCTTCTGCGACTTGGCCAGTAACACATCGTCTCTGAAAAAGTCCTGGGTACAACTGCGTGAACGCTTTAGTACGACACTTCACTTTGTGGGTCAATATCTTTGGTGGGGACAGCTCCGGGCAGGCCCAGGGGAGGGCACGCTTCTGCGATACCTCCTATTTCTTTCCAGCCAACACTTCTCTTTTTGGGGCCACGCTCACCTCTCACTGATCTGGAGAGCTGCACACTGGCTAGCGCCCAGACCCAAGCACATCTTTTCTTGGACCTATCGTCAGGCCAAAAAAATGCCCTCTGCTGCTCTTATCGACTGGCTGCCACTTAGTCATTGCTACTTAAAGGACTGACCTGGAGCTCCTCCAGGGATTTCCTGAACACCTCGATGTTGGCAGAAACCTCCTTTTCCTTCGAGAGCCTGGAGCTCAATTCCTCCTGCAGACACTTCTCTCTCTCTCGACTTTGTTGGTTCTCCTCGGAGATCTGCCTGACCTTCTCTATCACCTGGCAAAAGCATGCGAAGGAAGATGAGAATAAGGCACTGTATTAACATCGTTTTCCAGCTGAGGGACTGTAGATTGTCTCAGTGAGCAACAACTGAGACTTGCTGCAAACCAGTAGCCATGTCAGACTCCTGGGCAGCCTGTTGACTCCATCCAAGCTTTGGGGGACAAAAAGGATTGTGTCTCCTTCACATCACAGAGCGGTGCCATTAACCTGGGATAGCTACGGCACAACTCATGATCTGGAAAAGCTTGGATGCTACCAGCACTACCGCGCACGGAGCAGGCGCCGCGGCCATTCTGCTGCGGCCGACCTGAGCCACGCCAGGCTTTGGAGGCACCGAGCATCTCCGCGCGCTGGTATCCAAACTCACCTGCTGCTCCGTTACAGCTTTCCCTGCAACGCCCGCTGCTGCTGCTGGAGAACAGGCTCGCATCACTCGGGTTTTGAAGGACTCCAGCTACAGCAGAGATCGACGCAGGAAAACAAAAATCACTGATAATTGCCATCAGCTCTGCTGCTCTGCCCTACCCAACCCCACAGACACCAATGCACGGGACGTGCCGGTGCCTGCCCTCTCCGACACTGAGGCCCCGTGCACGCTCCTGCCCTCCCCTCAGGGCATCGCTTTAGCTCACGCACCTTCTTCACCGTGCAACTTGGCAAGGGTTCCCTGACACCCCTCCTCTGACCCTGCTGGCTCATGCCCCGACAGCAGCAAGGCGCTGCAGTTAATCACACTCGTTACTTTGCCCGCAAGGTGTAATCCTCGGTACCATGCGCAGGGGAGGCTGTCGACTCCCCGCCACCAAGGACAACGTGACTCCTGAACACCTCCTGCTGCCCTCCGACCGCTGCGGCAGGATTATGCCGATGGAGGACCGGTATAAATTGCAAAGCACGGACTGCCTGAGCCAGGTGGTTGCTCTATCCCACGCACCAGCAGGGATTTCCCATGGCTGACTCCTATTTCCTCCTGCAAAAGAGCTGGGGCAGGCTGGGGACAGCCGGGGATGCTGTCCCCAGCCTCTCTGCAGATGATGACAACCCTTCCCACCAAGGTTAGTGCTTTACACTTCTGTATCGCAGCTGCTGCTGGCTCCTCGTGGGGCTTCCGCAAATGGCTGGGCCTGTGCTAACCTACATGGCAGACCCAAACGTCTCCAGCTGCCTTTAAAAGCTTCAGGTCGCCCTTTGGCTCCGCTCCGCACAAAACCCAGGGTTATTTTCCAAACCTGCGATCAAACAACTCATAGCTTTTCCTGCCTCTCGTTGACTGGGCTTCCTAACAAATTCACGCTAGCAAAACGCTGCCTTGCAGCTTAATGGGGGAGCACGACCTTCTTGGGCAAAGCACGGCTTTATCCTGGTGATCTAGCATGATGCTGTTCTGCAAAGGGCCATCTCTGCCCGGAGTAGCATTACCTAGCCACGGAGGCGGCTTTGCATAGGTCCTGGGCAGCGTGACTATGATTACAGAGAGCATAGCGTGTTTCTGTATCCTATTAAACTCGCTGCACCTTCTACGACGCCTACACAAATCCTGTGGATAAGCCTATTACGCTGCACCCGACGACAAGTTAAGCCCCGTGCCAGGCTTTGGCGCTCAGGCTCCTGCGTTCCCTTTCCTGCGCTCCAGCACGATGTCCTTCCCCACGGGAAAACCCGTACTTGTGCCGCCTACGGCCCAGAAGGCAGGATACGCTCATCCCTGCCTCCTCCCTACCTGCTCCTTGGCCCGGCTCACGTCGGCTCTCAGCAGGCATTCCCTGCGCCCCATCTCCTGCAGCTGCAGAGCTCGCCTGGCACAGCCTTCCTTCAGCTCCTCCTCAGCCTGCAACCACGAGAGCATTTGCATATCAAAGCAGTACCCGAAAAATCGTGCCGTAAGCACTTCTACCCCAACTATCCATGCATCAGACAACTCTAAATATAGCTTCGAAATACCAGGAGACAGGCAGCAGTCCGTCCTTTTGCAGGGGTTGGCTCGGCAGCATCGGACCCTTAATGCTGCTTTTTGCCTGGGTTTGGTCCCCAAGACATCATCCGCCCTTGACTTTCTAACACACCGCTCGCACAGGGCGGTCTCCGCTGCACCAGTTACCTTCTTCCCTCGGGGTCCGTGGCAGAGTTCCGCAGGTTTTGACCCCCTGCCCGTACACCCCTGCTAGGCAGCCAAGGTACATGCCTGCCCTCCGCCGCATACCCCACAGCCTGACAGTTACCTTGGCTTTCTCGGCCAGCTGTTTTCGGATGCTCTCCTGCTCAGCGCAGTACTTCTGGACTTCCCCCTGCAGCCCCTCCAGGTCACGCTCCAGCTGCCTGATGCGCTGCAAGAGTCCCGGGATGGCAGAGGTCTCACCAGAAGCACTGGGCATCACCCAGTCCGTGGAGGACTTTAACCAATAAGCAATACATTTTCCCCATCTATCTCATTTCGTTTACCCGGGAATTTCCTTCTAGCCTATATTTATTGTGGTTAGATTGGCTTTCTAGTGGAATTTCAATCTTATTTCTGACAGCATTCTCCCGCATTGGAACGCAGTGTTACAATTTTCATAGGAGTTTACGCTTCTCTGGGTCATTATGCACATTAGGTGCCTTCCATTACAGAAGCCGGATTCAAAACAACTCTCCTAAAATGCCCCGTTATTTATTCTCTTGATGATGTATTCCTGCAGTCGCTGCTCTCCCGTGTACTCCATCACCCCAAATGACTTGAGACTCACGTTTCGGCACGCAGTTACTTCTCGCTCTCCGAGTTCATGCTTCAGTTCCTCTTTAATTCTAGAGCACTAAAATGAACGGCAACCAAGGAAAAATAACCATGAGGGCATGCAGATAGCGTCGTCTTTGCAGCAAATGTCAACACATACTCCAGTGCTGCAGCCCAGCTAAAGTGCTCAGATACCTAATGGGCACCCGGAGTGCCCATGACGGGGCCATCAAGGCACTGAGAGCATGAGAGCATCCACAACTGGAACCGCTCATATTAAAGCATCGCCTGGCTGAGTGAAGGACAAACACCCGCAGGGAGTACCCAAGAGAGGGAAATTCCTCTGCCCTTAGAAACAGTATAACAGGGACAGGGCGAAAGGCTGCAGGAAAACACAGGCTTCTTCAAAGCACCCACACTAAGCTGACCATGACAGTAACAGCCATTCCATCACTATATCGGACCGTGCTTTGCAGCTCCACGTTCCAGGGTATCGGTGTTTCAGAGACCGACCGTGTTCTGCCTGCCCCGAGCGGCCGGGTGCCTGTCCCGCGAGCCTGTGTGCGCCAGCTCCCGCCTCCCTCCAGGTCTTCCCGCATCCATGGAATGGGGCAAGCCGCAGAGGGATGCTCTGGGACGTGCTCTCTGCCTCGACATGAGCACTGTGGACCACCGAGTGCCACCAGGCACCCAGCAGGATGCTTCCCCGGGACACCCGGTCCCCCTCCCGCACAAAGCGGGGCTCGAGCGCTCGTACATATCCCCTTTCCACCGTTTAAAGGGCTGATCCTCGGTTAAAGGGCTGGTACTCAGCAAAGCAAGGCACGTCATTCACCTCCAGAGACCTGCTCAGGGAGGATGCTCGGCCAGGTACAGGCCGGCAGGCGCGGTGACCCCAGCCTGCACCCCAGGGGCCCCACACATCTTTGCTGCTACTTTAAAATCATGGTCAATCACTGAAATCTCCTGGAAGAGGGCTTATTCAGCCGGCCAACACGCAGCACCCACTGCTCTATCCTTATTATGCAGATGATGCAGCTCTGCCAGTTGAGGAGGGAGCTGCAAATACAGAGAAGCAACCTGCTGCACAGGCTGCTTTCTTTAAGGGAAAAACCAGGCTGGGCTGCAGGGAGCCACATGAAGCCGGGGTCTCCATGGCTCCTCGGGAGCATCTTGGCACAAGCGCTTTGTGCGTACAAACAGCTACTGTGCTCGCAGAAATCCAGGGCGCACAGCACCTGAATGCAGAACGAGGAGCGGGATTCAGCCGGGGAAGGCGACACGGCTCTGTGGGCATCGCACGGCACCGAGGCACCACCGCAGCCCCGTCCCAGCGGTACGGCTCCGCAACTTCTCTTTGCGTGCAGCCGGGACCCTCGCATTACAACCGCCCCGATAAACAGCCACACAAATACAGCTGCTACGCTCCTTAACAGAGAGGAGCACGACCCTTCTCATCCTAGTTTCCCACGCTAACCCGCCGTATGCGAGACCATAAATTACTGAGCCCCTTCTTAGGGATGTTAACCTTGGCAGAAACGACTGCTAGCTGATTGTCCTTTTCTCTGTTTTCCTTCTTCATTTTGTCAACATCTTCCTTGAGCTGCTGGATTTTCTGCTCCTTGCCAGCCACCTCCCTTTGCAGGCTGGTCACCAGACCTGGGAAAAACAGCTCCGGTGAGAGACTACCCAAGCACGTCCCTGCAAAAGCCCTCTAGCCGCTGAGCTGCCATCCTCCCTCTTTGGCAACCGTCGGCCTTGGAATGCGGATTCAGCTTTTGGCACGCCGTGCTGGCTGTTGCTCTGCGACAGCACCGCTAACAAAGTTCCTCAGGACCTGGCAGCACATGCTCCCCGGAGGATGAGCGGCTCCTACGGATGCGGTTTTGCTGCCTCGCTAGGTCAGATCCATGGCTCTATGGCCTCTTTTCCCTGCGAAGCACCGATACTGCTCCCTTATCCGGGGCAATGAAATCGAGCAGAACACTTCTGCTAATCTGAATGCATTACAAAGGCCAGTATTTTGTGCACATGCTGTGCTCCTCAGGCCCGATGAAGGCAGGGATAAAAGCCATTGGAAAAGGCTTGTGGTCTGAGGTGGCCCTTTGCAGCCAGGCGCAGCCCTGCCGCAGCTTGGGTGGGGGGCAGGTCTCCCCCCACGGGGTGCACGGCAGCCCGTTAAACAGCACCGCTTCCGAGCCGCTCGGATCCCACCCTGCAATCGGTGCTTGAGGCTTTTTTCCCCCTACCAAAGTTCTCCATCCCATCACTCCCTGCCTTCGGTCCCCACATTGTCCCTCACTCCAGGGGCACTCGTCACGTCAGACGCTGCCGGCAACTCCCGCAGAGCTTCAGGACACAGAAACAGAGGTCAGACGATTTCTACCAGCCGCTACAAATCGTTTGTTGCGTGGAAGGTTTTGCCAACGCTCGCTCGTGATCAAGAGCCGGTCCCAAACTGCTTTGTGCCCCTACACGGAGCTCCGGGGATACGATACCTGCAGCCAAAGCGTGGTCCCTCTTCAACTTCTCGCTTTCTTTCCGCAGCCTTCCAATCTCCAGGTCTCTTTCGGAGAGGGAATGGCTGAAAACCTGGCTCGAGCCTTTCTGCAGGTGGCTGATCTGCAAAACACAGATTCACCCATGTTCCTGGCCAGATCACTTACTAACTCTATTACAGTCCCCTTCGGAGAGGGAAATCTAGCGCTTCAAGGTCATGGTCTGATGGGGTTCCTCTTTGGCACTTTTGACTAACTCTTAGCAGTCACTGCTTCTGACAGGATCACCTTACATTCGTTTTGGCCGTTCACGCTGAAATCCTAGACAATATATGACTCCTATATAATATAAAATGCACAGAGAAGCGCTGCCTCCTGCTGCATGCCATGCTGGGAATCCACGGCTGGGGCTGGGTGACACTGCTAACGTGGCAGCAGGCAGAAACGCCTGCCGATTTATCACCTGCTCAGGGCATACATATTTATTGCTCACAAATGCAGATCCAGAGCCGCTAATAACTCATGTTCGCATTTCCGCTGCAAAGACACTTTTTACGGTCCCTGCAGGAAACCAGGAGTGGGGAATAGCCTGCGCTATCCACTTCAGCTCACATCGCCGCGCAGAAAGCGCAAACACGCTTCCCACAGCTCAAGCGACCAGTTTCACGAAGCAATTAACCGGAGGGTATAAAAGAGCGAATCCGCCGGTGGAGGAGGCTTTTGTCAGAGAAAGGAAAGCTGCCGGGAAGACAGGCGCCGCACATCGTCTCATCTCGGCGCAGGAACAGCAGTGATGCTGACAGCACCCAAAACGAAACTGCCTTTTCTCCACCGGGAACCTGCTTATCAAAAGCTCCTCTCCATGACAGATGGGCGGGACGAGCACAAAGCATTTCACCACCTCCCTCAGAACCAGTACGATATGGGAGGGCAGGATGCGGCCGGAGGGGCCGGCAGAGATGCCCGGCTGCTGACCTACGTGTCTCACCTTGCACCAACAACTTGGATTGACCCTTTTCCCATGCTGGAGATAGGATGACTCCGTGTCACTGTCTCTCCAAGACATTTTCTGAGGCCTCGTAAAGCAGGGGGGTGCAAGCTAATAACATATCCCTGGGGAAGACAACTACAAGCCCTCTCTTCTCTACCCAGCCACCTATTTTCACCAGGACGCCAAGGGGCTGCGCTGCCTTTGGGACGGGTATTCCTCCTGCAAACACGACCACGCAGTCCGCTCCTGGGGCGAGGGGGGAGCAAGGGGTCCGGCTGTCCGGCCCGAGGTGGTCGTGTGTGCCTCTCCCCGACCGAAGGCTGCTTAAGCTTCTCTTTTCCTTCCCTCTGCAGCATTACAGATCCTACTGCATACAGGGGAAATTTATTTACCAGCGTCTTCAGGGGAAACTTCCCTGGAAAGTAAGGAAAATGTGCAAACCAAAACAACTGGAAGAAAACACCGCCCTGTCCCTTGTTTCCCTTGGTTTCAGACGCGTGGCCTGCTCCTCCTAAAACCTGCGTGTTACACTAAAAATACATCTGTATCAGGGAGATATTTTCCCTGCTCGGTGGCTGGTGAAGCAGCCGGTACCTGTTCCCTCAAGGCTTTGATCTCCTCCGTTTTGGCTCCAAGCTCTCGGTCAAAGGTGAGCAGCTTCTGGGTCAGCTCTACCTCATTCCTCGCCGCTGCCCGAGCCAGGGTCTTTGCCATCGCTGCAATCTCATCCTGCAGATCTCTTATGGCTGCGTCTTTCTGCTTTGATTCTGTTTCCAAACCAGAGAGGCGACCGATTTCCTTCTCCAGACATAGAAGCTTTTCACCCTGCGGGCAGATATATGGGTGCCATCAGTCACTCTCCAGCTACGGAGATGCCGGGCTGCCCGCTCCAGGGGGTACCAACCCGGGGCCATCGACTGCGTGGACGCGCTCCCCCCGACTTCCCACGTCCCACCGTGCCCCCAGCCATCCCCGTCCCCGGGAGCAGACCCCTTTGGTGACAGCCCCCCCAGCCTGCTGGGACGCGCGGTCACGCACCCAACCGTCTGGCAGGATTTGCCCGCTCTGCCCAGGAGTGGGACGGGGATGACGTTCCTCACGCCTTCCCCCAGCATCACCTTCTCCTGCGGGAGGAAATCCGTGTCGTGAGTCCCCGGGGAAGGGGCTGCCCTCGCACCGTCGCCCGAGATGCCGGTCGAGACTGGAAGAAAGCAAACGCGACAGCGGCAAATGTCAGCACGAGAACCGCTTGCAGGCAGCGGTAACCCTTCCTGCGGCATCCCTCTCGCTTGTCTCCAAACTACGCTAAGGCAGCGGCTACTTTACAGTCCACAAGCTCGGTTCGCAACCGGAAAAGAAACCCACGATTTGGCACTAAAAAGACGCTTACCGGTGCAAACAGTCTGCACAACAGAGAGAGCTAATACACCTCTGGGAACCAAGAGAGCCTCGAAGGCAGCAGAGGCACAGCAGAGACAGGCTCCTCTGATTTTTCAGCATTGCCCAGCCCCACAGAAAGAATCTATGCTTCTCTGGCTTCCCACATGCAAATAGCAGTGCTCGCTGCGATTAGTGCGTGCGGATCCTTTTGGCTCTATTTCCCCAAAATCAGATGAGTACGTGCTAACCTGGAGTGTGTGCTTCCCTCCCTTTACCTTCCCTGCAATTTCAAATTGTGCCCGTCCACATGTCTTTATGCGATGCTGCTGGGACTGCACGCTACTGCCTCTGCTCTGGAGCACCAGCTGAACTTTGGCACTTCACTATTGACTTACAACTCCTCAAACAACCCAACCCCAGACTGGGAAAACAACCCGATCGTGTATCAGGCCATAACAAGTTATATTCATGGCAAGGGTCTCGTTCTCCCGCTGTGTTATTCTCCCAAACCCCTGCCTCTGCTCCACTGCTATCGCACACTGTATTTTCAGAAGCGTATCAGCTACAAACCTAGTTTAAAGTTCCGGCACTCAAGGCAGCCGGTAACCGTGCTTCAAAGGAGGAAAAAAACATCCCTTCAAACAGCAGATGGGAATAGGTGCCTGTGTCACCGGTGCAGATAAAGTTAGTCATCGCCCTTCCCCACCACACACAAGGAAAAACGAAGAGAAAACACCCCTCTCAGCTACAAGGGCAAGTGCATTCCCCTTTGTACGTCACAGCCCGTTTCTTTATTGACCCAAATGCCACCGAGGACAACACACGGTCTCCCATTAGCTCCACCGGACCAGGACTCGCAGCCAGTTGCTGGCAACGCTCGTCCCTTAGCTCGTATCGAACTGCCTCTCCTCGGATCGACTCCACTCAACGCTAAGTTGCTCAGAGAGGACGCCAGGCTACGAACCACCAGGTCGGGTCGGCATCGAGGAGTACCTGGCCTCCCCGCGGAGGTCCCTCTGAAAGCGTCCGGCGAGACGGCGGTGGCCACGCTCCTAGCCCTGGCACTCACGGGTCGCTTCCGCAGCGGCGGATGGGGCACGCGGCCGGCTGCTCCGGGAGCCCAGCTGCCGGGAGAGCTGGGGGGCTGCTGCCACTGCAGCAAGGGGAGGTGGGGAGGAGATGGAGGAGCTGAGGGTTTGGACTCCGCAACCAGCTGCGGCGGCCCGGTCCACGCTGTGCGACGCTTCACGGGGGGATAGGACATCTGCGGTGGAAAAAGACCACATCGGCAAGAGCGTAGGAAGGTTTTTAGCCCCCAATGCACGTGCGTTATGTCGTGCAAAACCCAGGCACAGATCTGAGCGGATGCAGCGTTTCAGTCCTTTCCCATTTCCATTGCCCAAGTTATCAGATTTCAGTCGGGAAGCCCAAATATTTTGCTGGAATGGAAAGAAATTTTGGGGGCTTCCTGCTTTGCGAGCTCTTCCCTCTCTCTCTAGTTTTGACCACCCTAATTCTGCACACTGTGCAGAATTCATGCCTCTCCTGGCTCACGCAAAAGCAGTCCTACCCTGTCACCACACTGAACCAAAGCCTCTCACTGCATTCCTGGCTTGCCATCGCATTTATCGGACCTTACGTGGGGCCTGTCAGACATGTAATTGGGACACTATCTGCTATTCTCCTTATGAGCAGAGCTTTCCGGTAAGGTAGAGACAAGCCACCATTAAGGTCTCGTACGTCACCTTACGTGTAGCCCTCAATTACAAGGACTGAACTAAACATCTGCCAACGTGGCTTCGGACCCAGCCGGGCTGCAGACGTCCAACAGCCGGCTGTTATCCTGGCATCTTTCTGCAACAGAGCCAAAGACCCCAGCACATGCTCCCCACTACTCCAGCACCTTGTCTTCTCCCAGAGCACACCTAGGCCTTGTCACTTTTGCTAATGATGCTACCCTGGGTGCTTGCTCGCGGCTGGATTCCACCATAGCATTACGCCGTCCGTTTCGGGGCCCGTGCCCCGAAGCGCTGCAGGGATGTGACTCCTAGCTGGGTGTTGCTCCTCTTTACAACATGTTCCTTTAATACTACTGAAAATGAGAGAGACCTCCCTATATTAGACACCACAAACACTTCACAGGGCACAACGCAGAGGTGATTTACTCTCTGCAGTCAGCAGGGTCATGCTTCAAAGCTATTCCACCAAAGGAGGATCACAGAGCCTAGAGCCATGAAGAAGCGCCCGCAGGGCTTCCTCTGCGTCACGGTGAAAAACTGCTTTTCTGGATGCATCCTACACATACGCTTTTGGAAATTAAAAAGCTCACTGCTCCAGCAGGAACTAGCTTTACCTAACCAGCACTGGCACCCCAGCTGCTCTGGCTTCATCACGCAGCTGAGCATTTTTTAAATTTCTCTTGGGCAACACTTTCGGGATGCCTTTGGATCCAGCAGGTCAGCTTGCTGCACCGGGGTTCTTGCCAAATACCTCCAAACCCAGTGTCTGGGTGCACAAACTGGCTGACTGCAATTCAGTTTTATTCATACATGGGCATTGCTAAACCAGGTTCTGTGACTCCTGCTACCAGGCACGTGACACACACAGAGTTCTTTGGGTCTCGTGTCTCAGTATTTATTTTCTTGGATTCCCCAAGAGCCAAAATAATACTGGAACTTATCGATCCTTAAGTGTTTTATAACCCAAAGGCTCAACAACCTCCACAGACATCCCTAAACAGTTCTTTTCCTGGAGACAGGAGACTACCACTACGTTCAACCACCTTCTTCCCCAGTTTCCAGCTGCTTTGGCTTTCTCTCGCACTCCAAAGGCAGCTGCAATGCCCTGGCCATGCAGAACCCCTCGGTATCTCCAGCTACACACACCACTGCCAAGCAAAGCACCGGTCAGGGCTGCACCTTTGAGCTTGCTCTAGGTTTGATCCAAACCCCAACTTCTCTGTTAGTAAGTAGCTTTTGAGGAAATGTAAAAAGCAAAGAGAGAAAAAGGACATTTTCCAGACCTTCGCTCACATCCTGCGCTTTTCCTTACCGACTGCCCAAGGATCACCCAGATGAGCCTGGGAGCCTGCTCCTGCTCCCAGGATCTTCCCTGGGCACCAGCACCCCAACCTTACCTGGGCACCAGCACCCCAACCTTACCTGGGCAGCCCCATCCACCACCAGCTCGAAGGATGCTCCCCCAAAGTGCAGGATATCCCCCGGACTCACTCTGACGGCCGCGTTTTGGACCTGGCAGCCATTGACGAAGGTGCCGTGGGGGGAGTTGAAGTCCTGTAGGATGAAGCTGTTGTCCGAGGCAGCAAATTCAAGGGCTGCGTGATGATCAGCTACACCTGCGGACTGGCAGCAGGCAATCAACAAGCAAGCAGGGAAACCTGCTGGAAAGCAGCTCAGGTTTTGTTACTGATTTGCCAAGCCCCCCTCTCCTTGCTGTACGTCTCAACACAAGCAAGCCCTATGCTTTGCACGGAGGATCCCCGTGCATCCTACTCCATCCAAACCACCATCCGTTTTTACGACGATCGGCTTCCTCGCCCCTACCTGCAGGACGATGTCGGATGCTTCGTGCCTGCCTATTGTCGTGGTGTGCCGTTTCAGCTGAAAACACCCCTCCGAACTCTTCAAAAAGGCTCGCATCATCCGCCCCCTTCACCTGCAAGGCTTGTGTTAAAAAAACCCAACAAAACAACACAACTACTCATTTAGCAATCCCCCATCCAACACACACAACTGAGCCAAGAACTCCTCGACCAACTCATGTGTTAGAAATTGTACAAAATCAACCCAAATGTGGCTCTGCCCTGGCTGGTGGTGCGGCCGCAGCCTGGCAGTAGCCTTGGAAACCCCGGCCGTGCCGGAGCCTGCCCGCCCTCCTGGGTGCGTTTTTCTATTTGTTTTGTTTGGGTTTTTTTTTTTTTTTTCCTTCTCCTTTTTCCAGGCAACTGGCCCAGCAGCACAACACAGCTCCGCACCCAGCCACAGCTCTCCTTGCCAGCTGGTGACAGGCAGGGACATTTCCCCACGTACCAAAAAACTCACAGGGGACCACGCAAGCTGCCGGTGAACACTTTTTCACCTTTATTACTTATATTTTATTTAATACCCTGCACGCGAGCACAAACAGGTCTTGCAACCTCAGGCAAGTGGATAAACATTGCCACCTGGTGATGGGGACGCTGTCACCCATTGGCACACTTCGTTGACGTGGGCTGTCACACACCCTTTTTCAGCAAAAAAAGGGAAAATAACACACCTGCCACCAACAACCCCCCAGCAGCCTCCGGTTTGGCCTCACCTCTGCCAGCAACACTGGAGCCTCTTTTCCCCCCATCCAAGCACCCGACCCCGACCTCCCACCCCGCTGCCATCCAAACCTGTCTCCCCTTCGCCGCTGGCAAATGGCACCCCAAATGACAGCCCCTAATTATCACGGGCTCCCACCATGGCACTCTGCTAATTCCCATGCCTTTCCCACACTGCTTTCCGAATTTCGTTAGCGTGTCTTTCAAGCGTGATTGCGGCACAATTCACTGATTGGATGTGGGTAGGTGGGCGAGCTGGGCACATCTCAAGCACACGTGCCCCCCCCCCCCCATGGGTTTTGGGAAGGAGGGAAGCGCGGCAGCCCTATATTGCCCCAAATGACAGCGTTTCCCTCAACCCGTGTTGGGCCATCCACAACGTGACTATCATCCATCTGATAAGCAGCCCAGGCCTGCTGGAAATGAGCCTAAACCTTGCATTTTTGTTAACAGCAAACCCCAAGATCGCCTTTTGGCCCTGTCCCGCTCCTGTGGGTGAGAAATTCCCACATCATCCGGCCAAAACACGCAGGAAGCGGAGCACAAATTCACCCTTCGGCCAAACTCGCAAGCACGCAGACAGCAGGAGCAGGCATCGTGCTGTGAGAGCGGCTATTGCCCCGTCGGGCTGCAAGTCAACAGCAAATCCGTCCAGATGCACGTACACGAAACCACAGTGCTTCCCCCAGAAAATAAATTGCCCATCTCCAAATATCCTGCGGACAAAGGTTTCCTGCTATTCCCAGGGCTGCTCCGATGCTTGGCAGGACCCCGACACCAACCCCGAACAAAGGGGCTGCTCTGTTGACCGGGGGTACGGTCAGCTGCGCCGTGGCCATTCGGCACCCCCGGCTCACCGGGCACCTGCAAACAACCCTGCAGGTTCTTACAAGAGAACAGCTAGCAAGTCCTGCAAGATTTTATCACGCTTAATTTTGAGGCAGAAGCATCAGATTTGGCAAAGGAGCGCTCCTCCGCAAACCAGAACACAGTCCTTCAGCACGGGCCCCAGTGCTGGCCCCCACTGCCAGCGTTTCTGTCCCTTCCTTTCCTTGCAAGGGCTTTACACTGGAACACGGTGGCCGAGGTTTTCCAGCCCCAATCCAGCACTGCGGCGACGTTTTTTAAAACCAACGACCACCAGGCTTCCTCGGTCACGTTAATACCTCCTCCGCACATCTCACGAGTTGCTGCTGAACGCGAGTTACCTTCCAGAGACGCTGGGATACACATGCAGTCTTAAACACTGCGTGGGGAAACACATCCTCATTTCTCACCTACCAGCGTGTCTTACCCAGGCACAACAGCCTGAGGTCAGGGTTAGGTGCGTCTGCTGCAGGACGCGCGTGGAGGAGACTGCTGTGCTCTCTCCCTTTTCTTCTCCATCACGCTCGCCTTCACAAATAACTATTCCCTTGCTGTATGTTACAGTGCCATGGGGACAAGCCACCCTAGGACAGCGATGGTCACAGCTTTGGGAGTACTCGCACATCTCAGCATCCCACATCTCCCTCTGCTTTCCAAATACTCTCAAAGGATGAGTACGCAAGTAGCTGGAGATGCTCGTTAGCCATTCAGGCATTTTTGGCATAATTGCCACATTAGTCACGGCCCGTTTCACTGCAGCCACTGCACTTAATGTCATTTTTGCAGCTCTTTTCCTACGTGAGATATTGGGAAAGGCACTGCTTTTGCCATTAAATGCGACTTTCTGGCAAAGCAGCTCAATGGAACTTCAACTCCCAACTGCTCAGACAAGAAGCTTCAATTTATTAACACAGATTTTCTAAGACAACAGTTAGGGTTGTGTTTCTTCACCAGGGAGAGAGGACTTCATGCCTTGCCTCCCGCTGCAGGCAGGCTCTTAGTGGGACACACGTCTGGGAGACAACTTCCAAGGAGCTGCACCACCTTTCTAATCCCTCAACAACAATGAGAACCACATGGGAACCCCCGCCCCAAATCCCTCAATCTGGGGTATATTCTTCTACTATTTTCTTCCTTCTCTTCTATAAGGGAGTCCCTTATTTCACAATGTTTTGCCCATCTGAGATCGTGCCTTGGGGCATGGCAAAGTGAAATTCCTGTGCTACAACAAAAATTAAGAGCTGCAATATGAAATAATAACTAACAAGAGAAACTGTTGTATGGATTTGGACCAGCATCTCTTCTTTGCCTTCATTTCGGTCACTTGCGCTCCTCTCACACCTTATATCAACCACAGTGCCAAGTCAACCTCTACTGAACAGTCCATAACTACATCAGTATCAGCATCATACCAACAAAGCCACATCTGTACCGGCAGCCCAGAGGCAGAGAGCAGACTGGCCATGCTGACATCTGCTACAGATTCATAGGAGATTCTCCTCTCTACCCACACCTTCCAAAATCCAACCATCCGAGGGAGCCCGTGGCTGAATATGCTGACGGCTTTGTCATCGATGGCTTTGCTGGAAGCCCGGGAGGCGGCGCATGGCCGGGATGCCCGTGGAGCAGCATCTGCCCTAAAACAGCCGACTGATTTCAGGGCGCTTCGCCTTGCAAACCTTGGGAAGGGCCAACTACGCACGAGTGCACACACACACACAAACACAATGTACAAAATATTTATTTAGAACTGCTCGCACAGCATGCTCAGCCGTCGTTTCACCCTGCACACCTCCTGGCAGCAGCGCACTCAGCTCCCAACCCCCTGGATTTATCCACTTGCCTCAAACGGACCGTCCCTTCTCATCGGAGCACAAAACACAACAGGCGAAGGCAACCGAGGCAAGAAATCCATCCTCTCCCTGAGGACCACGGGGTCTGTTTCGGCCCGCTTCCCACCAGCAAGCACAGACCTTGGCAGGAGTCGGGGCTGGCCCTGGGCCACCATCCCAGCCCCAGCCAGGAGCCGAGGGAAAGCCGCAGCGCTACTCTGGCAACGCGGTTTCCCTTACTCAAAGAAAAGGCACTGAAAAAACAAGGAACATTTCCCTTTTCCACTTGGAAAATCCTTGTTCAATATCAGTTTGGTGGCTTGGAAGAGTCTTGCTGGCAGCAAAGGGGAGAGGGGGTAAGAAGATGCATTGGTGGTCCTTATGCAAAACACCACAAATTACGCTTTTGGTACTTCCAGCCTTCATTTACTTCAGAGCAGCAGAGCTATTGGCATTCAGGTTTCTTTCCCCCTAGTCTTTTGTAAAGCCCCGTCCCGGGAAAAGCTTGTCCCGTCCCCATGCCGCAGCACTACGCACCCATTGTGTCCTCTGCATGGCAGCTTCCAGGGAGCCCTGACCGCTTCTGAACCCACAGACCGAGCCCCACTTAGTGTGGTTATTTTAAAAGAAAACAAAACAAAACAAAAATACCCCAAAAAACAAACCCTCAGCAGCATCACAGATTCCTTTTTTTTTTTTTTTTTTTTTTTTTTTTTTTTAATTCTTT